GGGATGTGATATTGTTGATGAAAATATATTGAATTAACTAATTTTCCTAAATTTAATTCACAGTAATATCTTAAAAATATATAATATATTTATATGATTTATCAATTGATTTTTGAAATTTTTTTTATATGTTCGTTTGATGTAAAATTGTATATTTAAAGTATTGCTGTTATGTATTTTTTCTAACTTCTTATAAAAAAAGACAAAGAGGCAATACTGTAGATGCAACAGTAAAGTAATCCAATTTCACTGTGCGTGATGTCATTTTTTATTTTTGCATTTTGTGAAGAATTTTATTTATTGTAATTAACAAATATTCTTCCATACACGAATCATGTCATCAGCATTAAAAAATAATAATAACTTTAGTATATATATAAATTGCATGAGACAAAAAAAATAATAATAAAATTAAATAACTCTCGGCACATGAGCAAAAAAAAAAAAACTTCGTACAATACAAAAAGATGACAAACTATCTCTCCGCACTGTGCGGAGAGAAGCGAAGAGATGACATTCTCTCCGCACAGTGCGAAGAGAAAAACAAAACTCTCTGCACTATGTGGAGAGATAGCAAACTTTCTCTTCGTATTGTACGTGCGGAGAGAGTTGATCTCTCCGCACAGTGCGAAGATATTTTCTCTTCCTCTTTATTTATTTATTTATTTTAATCATGCAACCTAAATATTAGTTTGTTATTTTATTAATTAAAATCTGCATTAAATCTAATAAAAAAATATATAATTACAAGAATAAGTGTAACTTCAAAAAAAAAAAAAAAAAACTCTCAAAGAAATAATCATTGCTAACAACAAAAAATCTAAAAAATGAAGAAGACAAAAACCAAAAAAAGTAAAACTTGTGAAAAAAGAAAATGAAAGCATGATGCCAAAAAATTTGGCATTATTGTTCGAATGAAAAATTCTTTATTGATACACAAAAGACTTTTGCAGTCACTAGATTAAAAGTATGGATTTATTGTATTGTGTTAAAAAAAATTTAAATAATCATAATAAATCTTCTTATTACGCTAATAAAATTACAATATTTTTTTTTACAAATAGTATAAAAATTCATTTTTATTTTCAACAAAAAACACATTTAAAAATTAGTAATTTCATGATCACTTTTTTTTTACTTCCCAGAAATGCAATTATAAAAAAGAAAATATTTTAAATTATTAAATTATATATGGTATGATACAAATATAGTATGCTGTAAATACGGTATGATGCAAATACGGTATGCTGTATATACGGTAAGTTATAAATATGGTATATGTAAATACGGTATGTTGCATATATGGTATGTAAAATGCATATACAGTACGTAAAGTGCATATACAGTACGAATGAATCCGATTTTGTCCACTACAATAAATTTTAATACCGTACATGTTGTTTACCGTATTTGCAACTTACCATATATACTGTTTTACCGTATTTGCAGCTTACCGTATATTCTACCTACCGAATTTGCAACTTACCGTATACACCAATTTTTGCACTTACAAATACCAAGAATGTAGAACACCATACATTCACTTACTAAATCGAATGTCAGAAAAAAATTCCAAATTTTTATCTTTTCAACATAAGCATAAAATAAATATTAAAATATATGAAGGACAAAATATAAAATGCATATAAATATGCAAGTTGATTTATAATTTTGTACTTAATCTTCAATTTTCCAATATTGAATTACACAAAATTTAGAAATATAATCTTCACATTCAACCCAATCATATCAACACTATTAAAGAATACACGCAAAATAGTTTGTATAATCTTGTATATTTCTTATTCAAACATGAAATATACAATCATATTTTTTCTAGATAACACAATACGGTTACAATTGTAAAAATAATTTTCAATCATTTTCTTATATCATGAAAATATTTCTAGATATTATTTCAAAAACTTTCCAAAAAATTAAAATTCACACACTAATAAAAATACGATAAATACAAAATTCGTGCAACGCACGTGACAGTAACTAGTAAGTATAAAAAAGTAGTACATGAATTTATTGATTATAGTTAAATGATATAAAATAACAAATAAAAGAAAATGAATAAAAGAATAAAATACAACAATACCTGGCTACTGTGACTTTTTGTGAATCATTCAATACTTCTACTCCATCTAAATATTAGCAAATTACTTTAACGAAGCCCGATAATTATTAGAACAAAACAACATAACTATCAATAAAAATATAGAAAAAGATTATCAAAAAGTAAAAGAATCTGGATAATCTGACTTGAATTTAGGCAAAAATTTAAGAAAATTATTAATAGAAGGAAATGAAATGTGCAAGTTTGAATTAAAATTAAAATTTAATTGTCTGCTCAATTATAATGGAGAATCAACGAATATGGTTTAGCAGTAACTGTTCAACACTTTACCCAATTTAATAATTTTATATTCATAATTCTACTGACTAATGAGTATTTGGATTTAATTTAATTAATTAATTGAGATGTAAAATTGTCGAATTGAGTTCGATTGAATTATGTCTAATATGAACGTATCTTTTTAACGGAAATGTGTTAAATTTTAATTCGTTTAAATACAATTTAGATTAATTTATTTATCAGATTATTTTGGTAATCGGTTTGACGGTTTGAAACGGTTTACAAATATGGTACAAAACCTAAACATTGACAAATCTACGTGGAATCAAACCAACGGTTTCGATTCGATTTTGTGGTTTCGTTGTTCAATCCTAGTGAGGTGTGAATGTTGTGTTGAGCTGTGGGACCCAGAGTCGCATGATGACACGTGGCATGAGAACCGGCGGCGGCGGCTGGAATTTCGAATAAGTTGGCGCTGGTTGAATGAAAAATGATTTGGATTCCAGGCCATGTATTTTACGGTGCTACAAACGAGTCGCGAGTTTGTACTCGGCATGATAGTGAGTTGGGACAGTTCGAGTTAACAATGGCACGTGATTACGCACATGAGTGTTTTACTCTAAATTTAATGGCAAGCAATTAATTAACTGGCAAAAACACCATTAAATTAATCTTAATTAAACACTCTTTTGTTGTTTAACAACACGCAATCACAAACCTGCACGATCCATAAACTAACAAAATTAATGTTAATTATCAAAGGTGTTGTATTACACACAACTTTTCCACGGATGTGACCTTCCACTAATATCTCCTTCTCCTAATGCCCTAATCCTTTGGAAGACAATTTTTTTTTTATAAAAAAATAAACAATCATTCTTCATATTGATGAAAAGTACGAATAAATAAGTTATTTATTTCGATATGTAAACCTAAAAAAAGGTAACAAATAAGTCAGGACATATTTCTAATTAAAAAACTTTACTTCCAATAACTTTACCTTTTTATATATTGTTATTAATTTTTCATTAATTGTACGTTCTTTAGATAACGAGTGTTTGACGATCACTCATATTGCACCTTAATACAATGTTATCCAATGAAATTCTTCCGATCATATCGTTCCTAATTTTATCCTCTAATCAAATATGATATGGAAAAACGTAACCTTGCAATCGCATATATAAGAATATTGCACCAAATGTTGCTAAACTTTACCATATTTACGACTAGATCATTATACTTAGATTTGGTACATTCTAATTTACGAGCAATCAATTCATCTTGTCTGTGTCTGCAATTGAGCCTGCTGACATGTCTATCAAAACTAATGATGTGCCAATATATCGACTAATTTACCATGTCATCTCATCTTAAAGTGCACTGGAGGTAATCGAACTTTCACTGTACAGACAACTAGGTCACTGAATTTCAATTTGGTACAATCACTCCATTTCTTTTTAAATTTATGAGCAATCATCTAACTCCATTTGGTGGGTACATGTTGAAATCATAGAGTTTTTCTAATCCACGCAATCAAAGATGAATTTAATATGTCGCAAGGCTAATGTGCCATTATGAAAAATGATTGATTATTAAATCATTATAAACGGACAATAATTTAGGTCATAGTTTGTTAGATGCAAAAAATTCGAGGCATTTGATATTCTTATTCAATAATCTTTCAATTTTATGCTCACATCTAAATTATTTTAAAGTAACACAATATTGGTTGTTGGTGAATGTGAATTTTTCTCATGTTTGCAGTGCATTATCGAACTAACAATGCAATATTAGATTCATTATAGAAGGTTAACACATTGAAAACATAATTAATGGAAGATGGGTCGAAGAAAGGCCTCAATCAGAAGAGGGGTAAAAGAAATGCCTGAACTGTCCTTGTTGATCTTCTTTCAAATGAGCATATTGAACCATTTAATCAACAATGAGCTAATAATGGTAGACTCGTTATTTTTCTCAAATGGAGTGACATAATTACTCATAAGCTTAAGTATGGTGTCATAATTGTACCAAAATTGAAGTTTAGTTATCTAGTCACAGGTATGGTGAAAGTTCAGTAAGCTCCATTGCCATTGCAATCATAAACGAGCTAACTTGAAAAATGGACCTAAAGATTGGCACATCATTCATTAGTTTTGACGTACATGTCAGCAACTCATTGACGAAACTCAAACATAATGATCTGATTATTTAGAAATAAAAGTATAGTGGGTTGATTATACTAAATTGAAGTTCAGTGACCTCAAATGCAATATACACTTCTATATGAAACACTAAACATATCTCGTTGCTTCCAGCTGTAAGTAGAAGGTTGAGCCCACCCAACCCCACATGTCCCATCTCGCTTACCTCCACTTTTACTTTTTCTCGGATGTAGATTCCGAATTACTTTTGTTTTGAACCATGCTATACAAACATAATTGTTGATATATGAGATGATCGAATACTCACATCTCGAGAGTAGAACATTATTTTATTCACGCGGGGTTCATGCTCCATGTGTGGGTCAGTCACCCATTCGATCACCAAAATTCGGGCACTTTGGCATTTTCCTTTTACTTTTATCATCCACCTTTTTTTTTTTTTTTTTTTTTTTTTTTTTTTTTTAAATTTTTCATTCCTTTAATGTAACTCTGCCATTTTCATTTCCCAGTTCTTTAAGTAGTTAAAAAATTCAGGATCTGTGAAAAATCTGGGTTTTTTTGGAAGCAAATGTTCATTTTTTTGTTATTGATCTTTCAGATTTATGTCTGCAATTCTCTATGAACTCCTTCTGGAGTTTATGATAAATTCCACATATAGGCGCAGGACCCATTTAGTTCAATCCTTCTCAGTTGTCTTCCTCTACTGGTTTTATTACATTTCATGATTTTTGCTCCTTTTTCTACGAATAATTAGCTTTATACATATAAAAATTTTAATCTATATAGCTTTACATGATATAAGATAAACGTAAAATTGCTATTTGGGTCCTACTATTAATCTGATATTTTCGATCATTTTGAGAATTTTCTTTGGCTTTTCTTTTTCATGGCCTCCTCTAGTGGCATATCATCAGGTATATCTGGTGTACAGAACTCAGGTTCTGAAGAAGATCTGCAGCAGTTGATGGATTTGAGGAAGAGGAAGAGGATGATCTCTAACCGCGAGTCAGCTCGTCGGAGCCGGCTCAGAAAACAGAAGCAATTGGATGATCTGATGGTTCAGGTGGCTCAGCTTAGGAAGGAAAGCAGCCAGATCCTCTCCAGCATTAATGTCACCGCTCACCATTATCTCAACGTTGAAGCCGAAAACTCAATCTTTAGAGCCCAAGTGGCTGAGCTGAGCCATCGGCTTCAGTCCCTGAATGAGATAAACAGTTTCTTAACTGGAGCTGGAACCGGAGCCGAAGAGCCTTATTTCATTAATGAACCGGCTGATGGATTAATGAACAATTCTTGGAATTATATTTATGTTAATCAGCCTATTATGGCTTCAGCAGATAATTTGTTGCAGTACTGATAAAGGAAAGAAAATTCTGGATTAGCAGGATAATAATAAGATTAGGGATTTAATTAAAATGGAACTTGGTTCGTAGTGAAAGTATATGCTTTTTTCAAGAACTTCTGTAATTGTAATTTGCTCTTTATTATGCATCAATATTGCTATTTTTATATATATTTCCTAATCTTATTAATGATTTATTCCAAATAATACTCTAACAGTCTAACTAGTTATTCGCGAAAAAAATGTTATTAATAATGTTAATTTACAGAAATCTATGGGACGACTCCCACGTGCATGGAACAATGTTTACAGTGCTAAGTATTATTTACAAGTATTAATAATACTTAGTACATATTTATTTAGATTTTTTTGAATAATTCTTATTATTAAGTAGGAAAAATTATGGGTTCACATGTAAAATTATTTTATTAAAATAATGTTGTTGAAAATAAGTTTGAGAAAAAAATGAATCTTAAAAAATGGTGTCAAACAAATATTTAATTCATGATGCACGATTTGTTTAAAAATAAGTTGAATTTTACTTTTAAATTAATTTTTTTATCAAGAATAATGTTTAAAGATATAAAATTAAAATTTTTGTTAAAAAGTAACTATTTAGGCACATCCAAATGTGCTATAAATCCATTATGCTTTGAAATAAAATCCATGTTGAAATGAATACAGGATTTGAGAGGAAGAAGGAAATTACTTTTATGACATTTTTCCCCCAGGAAAACAATGAAATTACTTAGAGCAATACTTGTATTAATGTAATTATTCTCTGATCTAATCTCATGTTCGTAGTTGGTAGGATAAAAACCTTTTACTGCTAACATGGCAAGAGAACATTACTTACGGTTCTCTGTAATAGTCATCGAAGACGTATAGTTGCAGTTCTCTTCACGACATCAATAGTGAAAAATTTTTATCCTGTTTATTGGAGACATAAGATGAATTCTATAATTATTCTAACCAAAAAGCAATGCAAACTGCTAGTTGTAAACCTTTTGGACATTAAATAATTACTCATATCAATACCGAAAACCACTCGTTTGGTAAGAAAGTAAAAAATAACGTCTTTTAAAGGTTTATCACTCATCATCATCATTTAATTTTCACCGTAAATAAAGCAAAAGACAACATAGTGATATCATTAGTTGCAGAATAACATATGCCCGTCTGATTCTCGTTTTTATGAAAATATATTTTTCTCTTTTTTTTTTTTTTAAACGTACATTTTTTATTAAAATAATATTATATGTAAATAAAAAACTTTTTCTTATTTTTCATTGATACATTCTCCACTAATTTACTGTTCTAAAATTTATTTTTCCACAAAAATGAGTATCAAACATCATTTAGATGTGAAAATTGACGTGCACTAAGGCATTTGAAAGGTAAATTTAAAGCATCCTTTTAAGTTTTAGCCCAGTTTGATGCAGAGGTTTTTCAAATTTATTTTTAATCTAATATTACTGTCAGGTCCAAATTTGGTCATAGAACCATTCGAGTTCGAGTTCGATTTCTTTCGGTTCGATTCGATTCAGTCTCCAGTTTCATACAATAACTAATTTTTTTATATTTACAACAACATTACATTAATTCAATTGTGACATGTTCAATCTTACCTCTTACGAAATAACGTAGTCCAATCTCGTGATATCTTTTACGCTTCTCTTTGTTGAGTTCTTCATAGGTTTAATTATTAAAATCAAGAATATAAAGATAGTAAGCTCACAATAATGAAGAGAGGTGCAAATGAGCTTCCAATTCGATTTCTTTAGTACGAAAAAAACGATAGATAAGAGATTTGGATAAATTTTAGATTAATTTGACTAAATTGGGCTTGGTTGAAAATTAGAAATAGGAAAATCATAATTTTGGGTTTGGGCTGATTAGTTAGCAAATTTATTTAAAAAATAAAATAATTTGACTTATTTAAGATTAAAAAAATTAGGAATATTTGGATTTTATTCGATTCTTGCTTTAAAATCAAGAACCGAACCGAATCAAATCCGTTGATTCTCGATTCAAATATTTATTCGGGTATTTAACTTAAGACAACCCGCTCGGTTCAAGCCCAATTCGGAGTCCGTTTGGTGCACATTTTTTAGATGAAAATGCATTTTAAACATCATATCGCGGGTCCCCCATTAGAGTGTAGAAGTCAAAAATTGTGTGCTGATGTGACGGAAAAAATGCATTTTTGGCTCCAAAAATGAGTACCAAACAGGGGCTCGATCTAATTCGGTTTGAAAGTTTTGTCCTGCCTAGTTCCAATAACTTTTGGACTTGTATTTCAATTTAAGAAAACAAACAAATCAAAATACTAGTAAGATGCTTAATGCAACACAATCAATTCACTTGTCCTTTGTTACCTTGTTTTTCTTTCTTAAAGAATACAAATTAAAATAATAAACATTGGACAAAGACACAAAGTGTCATATTCTGGTCACCATCTAATGCTTAAATCATCATGGTTGAGAACACAAATGCAACTTGCTTTACACTACTTTTTCATTAGCTATCTCATTGGCTATATTGAGATGACCAAACAATTAATAAGGATTTTTGAGAATACTATTCCCTCTCGACACTCATTAAAGTTTGAAATCAATCCTTGAATTACTACCTGACATTCTTAAATACTTCCAAATGAGTTACAATCAACGGATCCAAGCATTTCGAGCGTTCATTTGTTGAAGATGATTGAGCACTTATGAAAACTACCTTGCACAACATTTTTCCTTAAAATTAATCAAAAGACATGACAAGTCACCAACTCGAGGTACAGTGGCCGTGGTAGTTGCAAAAGCACGACTTTTACACCTAACTTCTATGAAAAATTTATAGAAAACACAAGACCAAGATTCCATGAAAAATGTATGAATTTCCACCAAAACATTGTCATATTCAATTTTCGATTACAAACATTCACTAATTAAACAATTGATGCTTATCAGTCACCAATCTTTTCAGTTTTTTAGTTGGTAAGATAATAGATTCAATAGAGTATAGAATTAATGCGATCATTGCAAAGTTATCGTATGAATTTCTACTATTGAGTTTTTCCTTGAATAAACCCCCATGGTGTCACCATTAGTGCCTTATGACACTTAAAAGGGTAAAAATTTCAATAAAACGGACAACCAAAAAGATGACAGTATAGCACCCGTTCAAAAGTAGTTAAAATATGGACCCATAAGAGCAATTGGCAAAAAACTTGAATTTCTTATCTTAAATAGTAAAAAGTAAGCACATCAAGTGGCATTTGTACAAAAGAAAAGATAAGAAGGCAAGTTACATATATGGTAAGTTTTTGGTGGCTACAATTATTTCAAGGATTAATATCATTTTTGGTCACTCGACTATCGCTAAAGTCTTCATTGAACCATCAAATCTATTTTATTTTAATCAGTATTTGTCATTCTGTCAACAATACTTAACTTAATATCTCGAACTTACATGTATGTTAAAAATCCAAGACAATTTAACTTGTCTTATGTTTTCAGTAAATATGGCACCTACTCAAGTTTTGGATTCAAAATTTTAAAATAAATTGGTGTCTAGCATCCATGACTTATTAGGGGACATATTTTCGTAGAAGCACAAGAAACGTCAAGTTACCCACAAATTTTAATACCCAAACAGGTTTGAAATATTGAGTTTAGTAAGCCCATGTTTGTCTCGCGTTAAAATATTAGAGTTAATACTCATTTTCAATAATACATTCACACGATAAAATATTTTGCACGTAAATTCAAAATTATTTCCTACTTTTTAATTACGCATTCTTTAAAAAATATTATTCAAAACATCATTTTTCCCCTCAATAATAACCATTAAACAAGTGCTTAATATGATTAACATATAGACTAATACTGAAATTAAATTGAATTTCAATGATCGATTGAGACAAATTAAAAAGATAACAATAGCCAAACTGTATTTGAGTCCCTTAGGTCACATCTGCAAATTTATCATTTTGTCGTGACGTACCTGTTTAGCATCAGGGGACTTGTTCGATAACATAATTTCTAAAGTTTTTATAACCTTTTTATGAATCAAACTTTAATCACACATTTAGGGTCTATTTGACATTATTTTTATTTTTATTTTTACTTTTACATCCTATAAAATTGCATTTGGAGAAAATTACATTAATTTTTGTTTTGAAACTAATTTTTACAAGAATTTTCTATTCCGAAAGAGCTATTAAAAAAGTCATCTTAGATCAAATTTTTTTTAAAATTCTTATAAATAAAACAAGAACTTTTGTAAAATTAGCCAAACGAGTCCAAAAGTAACCATTAAATCTCAAAAGTTCATTTTGACTTTTCAAAAGTCATGTCAAATGAACCTTTAATGTACCCACAATTTCTATAAAATTTTCTACTATATATTTGATTAACTTTTATTAAAAGTTATGTATTTCAATAATTTATTTATCTTCGGAATATTACTTGCAATAAATACTCGATTTTAGTTGCAACGGGAACCCACATTGACCAAAGTAAAAATGAGTTCATTTCAAGGAATCCAAGTAGCTCAATAAAGAGTCTTAGCCACAAAATTATTAGTATTAATCCATCTTTTGTCTTGGTCCATGGTGCTTTTGACCTAAAATGATGAATTAGATAAAGATTGAAAGTTTAAAACACAATAATTAAAGCTGATAATCATCTTTTCCTATCACTTTGGTTCTCTTATGAAATGAAGACAGAAGACACGTCACCAAACTGAAAAATTACGGGATTTTGCCTTTACCAAAAGCAAGAGACCACGAATTAGTGAGTAACGTCGAGTAAGTTGGCCATTCTTTAGCTAACACGTGGAAGTGCTATTCAAGAATAGTTTCAAGTTTTATACAATAATGAGAGACACAAATTAGTTTACAATGCAAGGAAAGGGTGATTGGTTAGGTTCGAAATAGTTCAATTATAACCTAATAAGATTCCAAATTCGACATGAAAAGTCTCATAAATCGATCCACCATTACCAGATCATGTCAAACTTGAGTAATCAGCCCCATGAAAGCCCTTCCAATTTGAGCCTTTTTATTTGTTAGAAAATCAATAAAAAATTATGTCCAAACTCATCCAATCCAAACTCAACATGGCTCCCACTTTTCAACTAAACAAGTGAGCATATGGGTAGCACAAAAAAGTTGA